CACTGCTGTTGCTGCTGTTGTTGTTATTAAGTGTGTTCGGCTGGTCTTGTGGTTTTATGGACAGGGAAGAGAAGAAATGTGGGCATGTAGACTCTTGGTAGTTGGCTGGATTTTCATTTGGTCCTGTGGCTTGTCACTGACTGCTAGATTTTAGCAAAAATTTGGATTTAAATAATGGTAAAGAGGCTCCTGGAAGCTGAGCAGGAAAAAAGGTGGGGAACTGTCCTTCCAACTCGTTCTGCGATTGGTGGAAAAATATTTTTGAATTTTGTTCCAGCCCCAGAGCTGTTTATTTATTTGAATGTTGTTTTCTTTTCTTTTCTGTTATTTTTGGTGGCAAAGTTTTGTAATGCTACAGACTGTTGTAAACTTTTTAATGCATGTCGACAATATTTTTTTTTATTTGAAAAGAAAAAGAAGCACATTTTGTTTTTTATTTATTTTTTGTTTCTTTTTTTGTTTGATTTCTATTTTATTTATTTATTTTTTTTTTTTGTACCATAAAATTCTTGTGAATTGGTCCGTGATTTTTGTGTAAAATAATGTCCATTTTGAACCCCAAATTTCAGAGCTTTAAATGTTCATAACTTTTGAACCGTTTGGAATATTTGCATAATTCAAACAGTTTTGAAATCCATTTATAAATCTCTTTATAACAAATTTGTTAAAATAGCAATAATCTAAAATAAAATAAAAATAAACTGGGAATGCTAAGCATAATCTATGCTATAATAAACAAAGAAGGAAAAAGAAAGAATAAAAAAAAAAACAGTTAACAAGACGTCGCAGGGAGAACAAGAGATAAAAATAAGCAAAGAAATGGTGTTACGTGAATTTGTCCAATAAAGAAAAGTTCACGTTAACGTGATAAATGGATTCCGTAAATGTGTTAAATCAGAGGGACTTTATACATTTATTGAATCCATCGGAGTCGGTATAGTTTTACCGACTGATTCCCTTATTTGCTTCTAACTGACTCCACAACCCTGGCTGTCAACATGCTAATTTTATAAAAATAACCTTAAAATTAAATGGGATATCAGCAGTTAAAATGGAAGGAAATTTCACTATTTTGACACTTTTGCACTGTAAACAAGGGCAGTTTGTTATACCTAATAGAAAATCTGCAATAAAGCAAATAAAACGAAATTCATTAGGGGGATGTAAAGGTTGAGATTTTTTTTTTTTATACAAAAATCACTAGAATTGTATGAATATAATTTATATTGATAAAATTAGAAATGAGCTAGAGTTCAAAATTTCAAGGGAATTAAATTTAATTTTACTTAATTTGTTGGGCCTTTTTAGCTAAAAAAAACAAAAACAAAAAAAACACAATATACTCTGGAGAGAAGTTAAAAAATGAAAATACAGGTTCAAAGAATTTAAAAAAATAAATAAATAAATAAATTAGCATCAAACACTATTCAGATTTGATTTTGGAATTAACAGTTGACAAGTAAAATTGAGTATTGAGTGCTCTTTTATTGTTCTCTCTCCTTAATGATTTTTCTCAGATTCTTGCACTATCGGCAACCCCTTGCATCTTAGTGGCTTTATCACATTGCTTGAGGTGAAATGATTAAAAATAAACAAAGAAAGCCTCTTTTGAAGATTCTGTCAAATTGATGGATGGCTTTGTACTAAAATAAAAGCAATTTGTTTTTTCCAAAAAAGGTTGTTTTTATAAAACTATTCTGAAAATGGAAAAAGCTAAATTATCAATAAAGTATTTTCCCTTTAAAGTTGAGATAATCCTGGATCAATGTTTTATTTCGTGACAATGCCAATTTGGAGCAGGTAATAATTAAAATGAAACAGTGAAAAAAAAACTCAGGGAAACTAAGTGTCAAGGAGAATAAGGAATGAAAGAGCGGATTAAAAATAATAATTAGAAGCCATGAAATGAGTTTGGAGAAGGCTCTGGGAAGATTTGAACCTGAAATAAACCAAGCAGAATTCATTAAAATTTAGTAACACTAGATCTTTCTCAACATACTTGGGGGCAATATGACAAAGACTTATGGTCTTCTGAAACTTCCCAAATTCTAATGAAGAATTCTTGATTTGTTTATATAAAATATCACCTCTCCAAAATGCTCATTTTGTTAGCAAAATTCAGGTTCAGTTACCAGTATGACTTCATTCTAAAAAGGACCATGTCTTTACTGAAGGAAAGTAGAAGGTTATATGAATATAAAAAAATAAACAATAAATCAATGTTGGAGATGTGCAAAATTTTTCATATGAACCCAATGGATGCAACAGAGTGAATTTTATTTTGAAGGAACTGAGATTTTCTACCCAGAAAACAAAACATTTCCTAAATCATTCCATCAGCAATTGTATCACTAGTGATCATTTAAAAAAAAAAAAAAAAAGAAAAAAAAAGAAAGGAAATTTGAGTGTGAGGTATGTTTATGGTTAGGGATAATTTTTGATTTGAAGCCTTGGTTCAGGGTAGCAAGAAGAGGCTGCTCTGTCAAAATAATAAGCATGAGATCTAAAATTGTGCTAATAATAAAGATATATATGGATAAATAGCAGAATTAAATAACGAGATTACCTACTGGGTAATATACTGAAGACATGCAATATTTCCATAATAGTGGAATTACCTGGATATATACAATATTAGAAATGCTATGTGAAGGTTTTCATCTTACCTAGGTTTTGCCTATTGTATAAATTACCATATTTTAAGCTGTCAAAGAAGTGCTGATAACCTGAAATCATATTCACAAATTTGATAAGAGAATAATAAAAAAAAAAAAGTAAAATTACTTCTTTCGTTTTAGGATTTTACAATTCTTGATTTTGCAAATACTTGAAATCCTCTACCTCCCCAAAATTATCATACCATGTTGAAAAAATGCCTCCAAATTAATTAAAAAAAAATTTATTGTCAAAATCTTTGTTATTATTAAGAGTAAAGACGAAAGGATTTTTTGATTATTAAATTGTTTTTTAAAAGATTTTTAAGCAAAATTCAAAATATTCTAAAAAGAACATTTTAAATTTTGGTTTTTTTTTTTTTTTTGCATAAAACATTGATTTAGAAATTCTTGAAAGAATCAAATTATTGTTGGATCTTAATGAAATGTTCAGGACTTATTCACAAATGAATGAAATTATTTTAGAATTTTTTTTTAACGTCTGTTACCCACCACTTATTTAATATTATGAAATTTCCAGAAATTAAATTTTGGCCTGCTTAATGTTTATATTAGTTAAAAGCAGAACTCCTTGGAGAATTTAAAACATCAATTTATTTTTGTAAAACAGGACCATCAGTTACTAAGAAATCTGCTCCAAATAGTAAAATAAAAAAAATGCTATAAAACTAAGACATTATTTATTTAGAAAAGCTTTTAATTGTTTTTATGAATAAGATATTATGGACACTATTGTCTTAAGAAAAATTTTTTCAATGAATAATGAATATTTACATAAATTGTTTTCATTTTTTTAAATTTTAATTGTAATTTATAAAGTCATAAATCTTTTAAAATTCTGTCTTAATTTGTCCTGGTTAGATGATATTCTTATTAAATAAAAACTATATTTACTAATCATAAATAGAAAAACTTATTACAATTTAGCAGCACCCAATATTTTAAAAAGAATTTTTTCTTTTTTCTTTTTTTTTTTTGCATGCATGCCCAATTTTTTTTTTTGTAAATATGGACATCCATACACAATATCAGAAAATAAGAGTGATAACTACAGTAAATTTAAGGCTGAAGTACTAAAAATAAAACATTAGATTACAGATATTTTCCTAAATTTTTAAGATTATTGAGTAGTTAAAAATTATATAAAAAATGATATTTCAAGTAATTTTTATAGCTATTTCTACTATAGAAAAAAATCTATCAGTAAAAGTGTCAAGAAGTTAAATGTACAGCTACCGCAGTGTTAAAAAATGCATTTCTGTGAGATTTTCAACTTAAAGTAATCAGATTAATTAAACTTTAAATCAGCTAATATTTCTCAAAGTTTCAGAAAAGTATCTTATTTTTGAAGGATTTTTTTAAATAAAGAGAATTACATCGTGATGATGGATGGCTAAAATCAACAATGCTTAGCATTTTCAAAATGAAAACTCCTTCCAGTGAATTTAAATTTGTTTTGAAATACAAAGTATTTTGCTTATTGGAACTATTAAATTCAATCTTTTAGCTTGAAATTAAAACTAAAATAAAAACTTCAAGAAATGTTTTTTATTTTTTAAAAATTCATTTTAAAATCATTTTAGGTAATCATGTTTCTGTGGAGATACCCACACCTATATATTCCAATTAATTATAAACAATGAAAATAACGATTTTAAAAGGGTAATAAGAATATAATAATCCTTCAAATTTAAAATAAACAAATAATACAAGAGGGGCTGAAAAGCTGTTTTTATGTGCTTTAATCAAAACTTACTGAATATGTGTTTCAAAATTGAATCATGTTCTACTAACAATGAATTTAATTTAAAAAAAATGTTCAATTAAAATTTAACCTAGATATAAATAAATAGTACTGTATCAATTGCCTGTTTTGAAATAAATAAATAAGCTAATCTTTCCAACAGCAATGTATTTTAAATTATTACAATAGTATAATAGTACAAGTGAAGTCTTTCAAGTATACCTACAACATATATAAATACACTGGCACTATCTAGTTGTATTAATGCTAATATCAATGTTAATGAATGAAAAAAGATAGGAATTTACACATTATTTTTGGAGTATCACAAACTTATAGAGATTACACATTTCTAAATTCCTTTTAAGTATAAACTTTTAAAAATAAAAATATATACAAATACAACAACTCCATAGCAATGAACAACAAGTAACATTCAGATTTTGCTCACAAATATAAAATGTTTCTTTTTTAAATTATAGCACTGGTAACTAAATTATTTCTACAAATATATATCAAAAGGATGTTAAACATAAATCTTGTCATAAAAAGATTTTTTTTTTTTAAAGCATTATACTTACTGATATGCCGGTCATCAGCTTTGTTGATTAATTCTTCTAATTCTTGCTGTTTGTGCTTTTTCCTGAGATAATCTCTGAAGTCATCATCAGGATCAAAATCTTCGCCAAAAGTGAATTTCCCTTTTCTATCATCATATTTGAAATTACGTAACTGAGCTAAAGGATCTTTTTCCCGTGGCTCAGGTTCACTTCGCTTGCTGAAAACCTAAAGATGTAAAAAGACAAAAACTTATAAGCAAAATTAATATTTGATATACTTTGAACTAATTTATAGTATTTAGGCACCTCTATTGGAGTTGGTCTTTTCAGTATAATATAGGCCCTTCATTCTAGATACATTTTTGTAGATAAAAAAAAAAAAAAAAAAACGAAATAAATTGGAGAAGTTCCAAAATCATTAAAAATTTTAGTTGAAGTGTTTCATGTTTTACACCAAAAATGTATCATCTAAAAATATAACTTTTTTGTTTTTTAAATAGACATGGGGTGTAAACATAAGTAATGAATTTCTTTTAGCCTAGGGACCTCTTAAAGCCTAAATCTAGTCCTGAGTAAGGGTTAAAGAATTAGTCTAGTTGACTTTTACTAACGAGTGCCTCAAATTTTTGGCAAAAACTAAGCTACACTTAGTAAATAATTAACAAGAGTAACCCAATTATCTACAAGGTGAACAAGATTGCTAATTCAAAATCATGTTATCTAGTGTTCAGGATCATGGCAAAAAATAAGACAACTAAAAATAAACTTCTATATGTACATTTGTGTCAGTAGTTCCATTAGCATAAAAAGACCCATCACTAAAGTGTGTCAAAAAGATCAAAGGAAGTTATAAAACTTTTAAGAGATGATTAAATAAAAATTCACAGCTTACATATAATTCTGCAGATCATTGGAAAGTGGAAACAATGTTTAAATGTGTATTTAATGAAAATGAAATGTGAATATTTTTTTTCTGTTTTTAGAAAGTGATAAAATTTTCAGATTTTCTCCACACACCCAGAAAAAGTTTAAAATGGATTTTATAAATGATCTTGATAACACACAAAGAGTAAAGAAAATATACAACACCACCAGATGACTGAAAACACTTGGAAACCAAATTTGTGTGTCCTCTTCCGCCAACTGGATCCTGACACATAAAAAGAATCCCCTTCCCCGCAAAACTATGTATTCTCCATATTTAAGGTGTAAACCACAAACAATGCATGATAAAAATTGGACCTGGCCTGATGATCCTTCATTTTAGAGGTTGAAACTGAAGTTGTCTCAGTTTTATTTTTTATCTTACATGTTACATACACACACGTTTGAGCCAAAGGTTTTTTTTTTTCAGATTTTCACCGATGATTTTGGCAACTTGTTCAAGGCCCAAGAACTGACAATGAACTGGTTCAGATGTTTCAAGAAAGAGGACACCAACCTTGAAGAAAAACCAGGGTCAGAGAGACCTTCTGTTGTGGAAGATGAGAGCTTGCTTAAATAGTTGAAAAGCTAAGCACAGACAATTGTGCATTGTTGGTAGAAATTGATCCTTCACAAAGCACCATCAATTGACACCTCCATAATCTCAGCCTTGTGAACAGATGCTGTTGAGAAGTTCCTCATGATCTGACCAAATTCTCAAGATGCCATGTTTGATGATGACAAAAATGTGCATCCCCAACACTTACAGAAAAAAAGAAAAGAAAAATGAAGCCCTTTTCAAAAGTTTGGCAAGTAGTGTTGGCAGCTGAATTATGGATTTATACTTTTCTCAATCATAGATCTATCACTTATTTGATGCTAACTTAGTAAACACACCATCAAAAATGATACACCCAGAGAAAAATTTTGATTTAAAATTTAAACATATTTTGACTCTTACAATCTATAGTACAGTGAATTCAATATATTCTGACTTTTAAAATATTGATTCTCAATCAGGATTTTATTGTCTGATTTTGAATTATTTTGATTATGCTCCAGCTCCAATCCAAAAATTGGAGTAGGCTCCTCTCCATGCTGTTTTATAAAAGAAAAAAGTGTAATCCCATCTCTTACTCCTTAAATAGAATTTTCACTTTATTTATGATACATATTTACATAATGTGCTAAAAATGTTCATAATGTTTTTAATATTAATGGGTATTTACAAATTAGAGGTAAACAAACTGTTGTAACCTAAAAAGGGTTACTGAATGAGAAATAATCAAAACGAAGGTTGGAAATGAAATGGTAATATTTATAACATTAACAAAATACAGTACTTGTCAGCAGCATGAAGTAGGTAAACTACAGCTAGTGGTGGACTACTTAAGACAGCATATTACCCCCACTTACAATAGTGCCCAACGTGTTTATGAGGATTGGGACATACCTATTAGTATTCATTGGTATGGTATATAACACAAACCCAGTTCAATTCCACAAGAATTTGCTCTGTTAATCATTTGTTATATTTCTCCCTACTTTTTTTATTTTTTCTCATATATATCTTATTATAATTACACTTGTCACATCTTTAGTTACTTTGTCCATCTGTTATACACTTCAGTACTGATCAGCGTCTCACTAGCGGCAATTTTCAAAGAAACACCCTCACGCACTCCATCTTACTCTTGCTGATTGGCTTTAGAAAATCTTTTAGGGTGGCCTCTAAATAACATTATCGATAAAAGGTCATATGTTTTAAGGGTGGAATTCATTCATTTCTGCATTTCATTGTGTCTCAACAGGTTTTGAAAATCATTCCTTCAAAATTTTAAAATAAGTTTTAGATTTTTGAATTCCTGTTTCACCAAGTATTTTTATTTTATGTATTTATTTTATTTTAGTGTGTGTCATACTTCAATTAATTAATTTTATTTTTAGTTTCACTTAACTAATTAGGACCTAATTCTAGAAAAAATAATTTAACTTAGCTTTCTTATTAAATTTCTATTTGAAATTCTTATTTGTAATTTGCATGTCATTTAGCAATTTCCTTTCAAATTAGTCTTATATTTAACTCCTATTTCATAAATTTTTTTAATTTACTTTTTTCTTTTTTTTTTTAAGAGTTGTTTTGGAACCTTGAATATCCTTACTGGGAAATCCCACTCAACTTTTTGGGACTGGAATTTGTTAATTTCATTTCTCTGTTTCATCCTGTCTCAACCAGCTTTGAAAATCATCCCTTCAAAATTTAAAGTCAGTTTTACTTTTTTAAATTCCTGTTTCACTATTTTTTTTTTTTTTTTGGTTAGAGTTGTTTTGAAACTTTGAATTTAATTTTAAATCTAATATTTAATTTAATTATTTTTTAAACTTTTTCATTTGCTTTTGCAATTAGTTTTCTCATTTTAGTTATTGTTAATGTTCACAATTTTAGTAATATTTTTTTTCTCCAAGATTTTTAGAATTAAGAATTAACTTCTGTTTATAAATGTATCGATAAAATTAAAGCTTCAGGAAAGATTTTCTATTTATAAAAATCTATTTTAAACCTTAGGTATCACAAAAATTGAAGGTTCCTACTTTTGTGCTTATAAATTGTATTCATCATGAACTGGCAACAAAAACTGGAAGTTGCTTGTGTGAGAATGAGGCTCTACAGACAGAGGATAAGGGAAGAGCAGAGGCAATGCCAGCAGTTGAGATGAGTGTCAATGGAGGGTTAATAACGCAAGAAACTCCTGCAGCAGATAGGAGGAGACAACAAATAAGACGAGAAATTATGAATGAGGAACAACATGCACAGTACCACTGTCACACTATTTAGGTTGCTGGTAATTAATAATAAGGGCTTTGAATATCAAACAAAAATGAGATAAATAAATCACCATGAAAAGGGTTAAATGGATATCAAGAATGATAGACTGATAACAATTTGTTCCCAGGGAATCGAAAGTTCTAAAACAAACTAAGTGGCCGGCTAAGAACAATACTTAATTTGTACAATATGCAAGGTGTTGACAATTGGGATAACGCTGCCATGAGCGTGTCCATGGAATCGACATGAGGAGAATTGGACAAAATTTTAAATGCCAGTTAAAAGGTAAAAAGGTTATTTAAAGAATGTTTCTAAAGCGAACCAAAGGACATGAGAACCAGTGTCCAATATCTGATTTCAGACAGGAAGGAAATAAAATATTTCTGCAGAGCTGCCAGTATTGAAAACAATTACCTGACTTAATTTTTTTTTAAAATATAAACACATGGTAATATCTTGACATTCGTCCAAATGATTGTCACCATAATGTAAGTTGCAAGATTTTTCCTTGGAAAAGTACTAGATATAAAAATAGTAATTTTTTTTTTTTTATATATTATTTCAAGTGTTGTTTTTCTCCTATGTTACTGCATGACATTGCTCTGCTTGGACAAGCCCAACATGAAGATACCTGCGACTAATCGATCTTGGCCTCTTTATGATCAACCAATCACAACATGGATAGGGCAGGTCAGGATTGAAGAGATCACTCCAATAATCATTCACGGTACTAGAGGTCTTGGATGACCAGGAAGGGTATAAAGTTACAATTGGTTCCCGTGAATTATAAGTCTAAGGAGAGAAAATATGAATGAGGAACAGCGTGGACAGTACCACAAGCAGCAGAGAAAATCATTTCAGCAAGGAGTAGAGAACATGAATCAACATGACAGGTTCCTTTATCATCAAAACCAACAGGGAAGATATCAAGAAAGTGTTGAAAATATGAATGCTAGTGAAATTGACAAGTTAAGGAGGCACCAGATGCAGCAACAGTGTGTGAGAAGACATGGGCCAGTCCAGAACAGAGCTTTTCTTAATGAAGTTGAACAAGTTAACATAGGAGAAATGAACATTATATGTGAATACTGTAGTGTGCTTAGGTTTAGAAATGAAAATTACAATTGCTGTCACAATGGAAAAGTGAACGCACTTGCATTGCAACCATATCCAAAGACACTAAAAAACTATTTGAGGGAATCGATCAAGAGTCCATTTCATTCCGTAGGAGTATAAAAAATTACAATTGTGCCTTCTCCTTTGCGTCATTTGAAGTCAAACTGGCAGTACCTCCAGGAAGGGGTCCATATTGCTTCCACATTCAGGGCCAAACTTACTACATGATGACAAACCTGCATCCTGCTAATGATCAACTGCAATTCAGCCAGTTATACATCATTGATTCCAATGAAGCTCTGCAGCACAGGATGGATGTGCCTCAAAATTCTGAGTGTTCCCCTGTTACTATGAGAAAA